TATATATGTGTATATATATACATATATACATACATATATACACATATATATATCTAGGCTAAATAGTATTAATCAATATATGTATACTGTATATTTTGTATACCATTGTAATGTGTTACTTTATATAAGAATTGTGTTAACTGTTATGCAAATGAGAAAAAGTACAGCACGTACTATAGTTTCTGTTATTCTATACTATAGTATACACTATAGTATAATATACAGTTATAACAGCTCAGTTGCAAAAAGTGTTTACACTTTGATGTTTCCAATGATTTTGTGCTACACAATTGTTCAAAATGCATAATGTAAATAAAAATAGGATTCAACAAATTGTAAAGCTCATAAACCGAAATTTTATTCACAGTAAGGCTTAGAAAATATATCAGATTTTTTACTATTTCATGAAAAACATTAGCTCATTTGGAAATGAGCTGCTATTTTAATTAAAATTGTACCTTTTCTCCATTTGAACACTTGATATTTGTTTTCCTATATTCTAATGTGAGTTAAAATTTGGGTTTATGAGAATTGCAAATCATTGCATTCTTTGTTTTTTTATTCACACAGCCTTGTAATATTGCGTATGATCTGTCCTCATAAAAACATGAAGGGACTGTTAGGGACTCCAAAATTGATTCTTTTCCTAAGATATTTACTGATTTTGTTTTCTTTTATACACTAATTACAAAGATGGCTTACATTTTGACTTAATTTACTATTTTCAACTGGCTGTGTGGCGTTGGAATCGTGTAATTTGACAGTCATGTGTCAGTCTCAGCCAATGTACGGTTATCAAGTGGAATTGGGGGATAACTTGAGCGCTCAGATTCATTAGAAAGCTGTCGCGTGTGCTCAGTTCATGTGTAATAACTGCTTATGTAGCGAGTCTTCTCAGTTAAACATAAAGAAGAGCTAGAATGGACTATTCATAATTTGGACAAAATTTGGTTTAACTGTTGTTTTTAAATTAAGTCTGACATTTTTTCTTCTATGCCAAAGCAGACAAGCAAGAATATTAGGTCAATCTGGTCATTTTAATCAAGTGTTTCGCTCATTCATGGTTAATGAATTGATTTTTGAGCATCTATGTACGTTTTTTTCTGTATAATTGTGACATCAATCACTTTCATAAAATGCCTGTATGACAGCGAAGGCTTTCATGTGACTTCTTCTGCTGGATTTATGCTGTAAAACAAATACAGCATATATGAGTCCAGTGAAATTACTTTTCTTATGCCAGCTGCAGCTACTGAAGGTTATTAAACTGTCACTTAGGTTTGGGAATAAGGATGAAGGGGATCATGAGTTTCCTATCAAACCCTGAACACCACATAGTGTATAAGTAAATCCATTAAATATCCCAAAATACCACAGAGGAGCTTTCACTAGGCTTTAACAATGGCTACATTTTGAAAACGAACCACATGGCATGATGGGACATGTTAAGTTTATGCGGCTACATAAACATATATCCTGTGTGAGTGCACATGTGGAGCTTTGGGGATAAAGCTGAATTCTGTGTGAAAAAACACAGACTTTACACTCTAATGCATTTCACAAAGATTGCATAAGCTATGTGGGATTTTCACACAACCACTTCCCTATTGTCTGCAAAAAACTGACAGGAAACTGTGTTTTCATCTCTATAGCGCAAATCCGTTGCCAATTCCATCCACCACCCCAGAAAGAAGCACATTTTGAAGTCCTTCGGTAGCACAAAACCAGCGATCAATAAGTGTAAAGCCTTTTTTTTTTGCAACTGTGTATGATAAATCAAATACATTTACAGTGGCAGGGTGTGTACGTGTATGAGCCCTCTGCCAAACTGCGTTTTCCTTCTCAGTTTGATGATCCTTTAACTTACATGGACAAAGGATGGTGTAGCATAAATAGTAATACAAAGGCAAAAACCACAGGATCCAATAATTAACACTCATTAAAACTCAGCTGAGATTGCTTCATTATAGCAGCTGCCACTTGAAATCTTGAGACACAAGATTCCAATAGACTGGCTCAAACCTCAATTAAAAGCAAATAAGGACATTTTTTGAGATTCCCTGAAAGTGTTTTTGAAATACGAGCGTTAGTAACATGATAATATAGATCAAGTAGGCAAAAAGAAGAACAGGCTGTCCATGAATGTCATAATGGCCACCTGTGAGCTCACACCATTACACACCTAACTGTCATCCTTTATCTATATGAAGTTAAATGATGATCAGATGTTCGTTTTTTTATTATTAAAAACAAGGTTAAAAAAAAAGAAACTTTTTCTTTACCCTGTGACTGTGTGTTGTGTATATGTGTGTGTCTGTGTGTGTGGTGTGTTTGGCACACGTTTGGTTGACAGAAAACAGCAGACGGGATGGGGATGAGTTTTCCAGGGTTTCAGTGTTCAGACTCCAGTGTACAGTTCTGTTGTGGCAACAGATCGGGCTGCCACCCGTCCCCTGACGGACTGTCACTCTGAGATCCAAGACGAAGATGGAGATCAACAGTCTGGGAGGAAAGAATCAAAGATAGGCGTGAGCTTCAATCGTATACCACAGCTTTCTTTTTATTGCTCCTTATTGTGCTTTCTTTTTAAAGTATATATACTCACCACAATTTACGGAATAATCAAAGTAAATTAGATTTAAGTCTCCACACAGAAAATGTTAGAGAAAGCAAGGCAGCTCATGCTAGGTGATCTATTCACCAAAGCATATTGCTTTTGTTTAATCTAGAGCTCCTGATGGCTGGTTGGGTAAATATCACATGACCCTAGATATCTTTCTAAAAGGATTTTCTGATTGGTTTCATGCACGCTGTTGCAGATGTCAATATTATGTGTCTCTGTGTCAAGCTTTATCAGCTCCAGGCATTTTCATATGTTTCTTCCCTTTATGATCCACCTGAGCAACAAGAAGTCACTGCCCTGACTCTGATCCTGTCAGGAAAATGAAGTCAGCGGCACCGACAAGCAAACATCTTGGGTTTATCGCTTGTGACCTACAGAAAAGGATCCCGTGAAATAAATTCATTAAAGAATAATCTCGCGGCGCAGCCGCAAATACTTAATCAAGATAAGCTCGGAAAGGAGCGCAAATAAATGAAAGTGCGGTTTGAAAAGCTATGAGTCAGTCTAACCACTTGCCCCGTGCATCATTAGTGTCAAATGTCTGTCTGCCGCCTCAACACTCTGGCCGTCTCTAACCAGGTATACTTGCAGCTTTGTGCACTAGATTTCTGTTTCACCATTCAGCTGATGAAGACCAGCTTTTGCTTAATTTCTTAAAATCTTTAGGTGAATACAGTGTATTATATAGGCTGTGTGCGCTTGCCATACTATAGCTTTCATACAGTTAGGATTAGAGCCCATGTGTTTTAATTATTACTCATTACAGTTTAATATTGTTTTAACTGATGGTTAATTGAGGTTTAATTTCCTTACATGCCTTTAAATGGAAAACCAAACTGGCTGCCAGTTTATAACGATCACATGCTACATGTTCAGACATTTTCATAGCGTTGGATAAATGCTCTTTATCTGAATAAATAAAATGCGCGCATGTGATTGTTCCTCTCACAAATATTAATATTAAACTTTTTATTTATTTTTTATTTTTCACATGCAGTCTTTAACGGTTTAGTTCTTGACATGCGCATGCAAAAATCATATTCAGCCACTAAGCGTTTAATAACTGTCATCTGAGCAATGTGAGGGAAACCTCGAAGCTGCCATGTGAAATGCAACAGCCAACAGGACACCCACACATAAATATAAACACCTTGCTTGCGTTCTGTCCCCTCTACCTCCATTTATGTGAAATGGCTCATTACCAGCAGACAAATCAATTGGCTCTGCTCTCTGAACACCCACTTGCGATAATAAGAGACTCTACAGACAACCCACAGACTGGAAATATGGCGCTGCCCACCAGCTTGAAGCCAAGGTACACATCAGTAAAAGATGAAAGGAGAAAGAGTGACTAAGACCCAGACATGAGCTCTGTCTGTGGATTATGCACTCACATGAAAAAGTTTTCGCTAGACAAATATGATCAGGAATCATATTTTAACTTGTGTTTTTGCCTATTTAAAAACAATAACATATTCTTCTTGCTCTCATTAAACATCAAAGATTAGGGCTGATCTAATCTTTTCATAAATGGATTATATTATTCTGATGTTACAATATTTATTGTCTTAATAGAGATACAGTTTTGGCCTTTTTTGCTTGAATGATCGGGATTGTTTTTAACTATTTGATTGACAGTAAGTAGATATTTTCAGAAATCACATCAAAAATCATTTCCAGATTTGAATTATTCTCTAAATCGAAGGAAACAACTGCAGTGTCAAACACACGTAGTCGTTTAGCCTTGAGGCCAAAACTGACAAAACAGAAATCTCCAGCCATGATATAAAAAGAATTATAAATGTATCTGCAGAATATATATTTAATTTTCTTAACACTAAAGATCTAATCATAACTTAACACTCTACAAGTAGTAAATAATTCAACATGAACTGGCTTTGTAGTACTTACCTTGACCATCTTTTCTACTGTTCTGGTGTGCTCTCAATTCTTCTGATTTATAGAAATCAATACTGGCATAAGTGTTGAGGCTGGAGCCAGCACTGCTACCCATAGCGCTTCCTCCCATGTTGTAGGCAGAAGAGGTGTGCTCCACTCCAGCTTGAGGGCTCTCCTTAATGGCCAAGTCAAGGTCAATATAATTAAGGCCTTGTTCTCCAGATGAGGTGGAGGCTTGAGGTGGAGGTGTGGCAGACATACTAGCAGCCTGCCCGCTCTCCCACAGTGAGCAGTCCAAACCATGCCGATGGCCCACTGCCTGGCTGCCCTCTGGGAAGAGGGAGGTAGAAGAGGATGCGTGGCGTGGTAGTGAGGGAGGTGAATTAAATGTCTCTGGGCAGTGGCTTAGGCGTCCCTGCTGGTCACCTCGGACCAGTCTGCTGCTCCGCTCCGGAGACTGGAAGGACTTGACTGGGGAAAAGCCCAAACCTGTCTCCTGCTCCACAGGCAAGGGTTGACCAGAGTGGATGGCAGGTCGTGCTGAAGTGCTGGGATCTGAGGCTTTGCTCTCCGTAAATGGAGGCGGGACTTCTGTCAGCGCTGCTGCTGTCTTTATTTTTGTTCTGTAGCCCACGTTGCCCTCTGCGGCCAGAGGAGAGGACGTGCCGTGCTCGTGTCGGGCCTTGGGGGCAACAGCTGGTGGGCCCTGTTGGGTGCTGAATGTGGATCTAACATGAGTCACTGGTGTTGAGGATTTCCCTAAATCCATGCTGACGTACTCAGCAGAGGTGGACAATGGTGCAGAGAAGCTGCGGGGAAGGTTAGCAGGATTATCATGGCAGAGGAGCGGTTGATTGACGGGGCGGAGCGTTCCATGGATCACAGGACGTTCGGAACCTGCACATCGTCCTTCGCCATATTTACTGTCTTCCTTGAAGACAATACTGACATACTCACCAACATTCTGAGACACTGATGGCGGCAGATTCTCTTTAACCCTGGGCAGCGTGTTTGCTTTAGTAATGTCTGAAGACACGCTGAGGGGACGACCCCGCCTTTGTTGCTTTGGACTCTTACTGCTCGATGCACGTTTTTGGTGGTGACGCCCATCTTTCGTGCTTGTTCCTGCACTCTTGTATTCTGCTCCGGTTCTTAATAAACTTAACCCTCTCCCCGCTGATATGGACTTGTCTTCGAGGCTTTCACTACTGGCAGAGCTAGAGGAGAAAGAAGAGGAAGACATGGAAAGTTGGCAGCTTCCAGCAGCGCCCATTGCAATTTTGTTTCTCTTGCTATATCCAACTCCTCCTCCCCGTCCAGCACTATCGTGCCCACTGCCATCTTTTTTTCCTTCTCCTTTGTTCAAGTCATCCTCAAAGCGAGTATAGAGAGTGTGTTGATAAGCTCGTGGCAGTGAGAAGTAGGAGTTGAACATTTTTGGTTGAAGTTGGTGCTGTTCAGGATGGGAAGGCGGTGTGCTGCAAGCAGAGCGGCTGCTGACAGGTGAGATGTTCATGTAGTCACTGGCAGCCCGGCTCTCCATGTTGCCCCTGCTATCCCACATGCCTAGTCCATGCAGGTCTGTGGAGCTGCTGCTATTGGGAGACATGACCATGTAGCCCTCTGAACTGGGCTGGCGGATATGCTGAGGGGGGGACACGCTGTTGTTGGGGGTCATGGCCATGTATTCGTCATCTGCCCCGGGTTTAGTACCGGAGTCAGAAATACCTATTGAGAGAGAAAGTGAAACAGGAGGAGATGTCACTCCAGGCAACATTGACATATAGCCACTATCCACAGCTGCGCCTCTGTCCACTTCTTCCCCGCTTTTGTCAGACCTCTTCCTATTCTCCCCTACAAGTTGCCCACCCCCAACTCTCAGTCTGCCTGAATCATGGTGCAAATCAGCTCGCTGTGTGTTAGCGCTCTGCGACATGATGGCGTATTCTTTGTCGTCCTCATCATCTTCATCTTTTCTATGTGGAGTCAGCCGCTCGTGGGACGCCACAGGCAGGGAAGCCCTCTTACTGAGCAGTCTGCGTTCTGCCTCTGATTCACGACTGGATGAACGCCGCAGTATCCGTCTGCCTTTGGAGCGATGATGGGAACCAAGCAGACTCTCTCGCTGTCCCATGACGATATAGCTAGAGGAGCCTTCTCCATGTACGTGATGTCCTGACAGGCTTGGTAGGAGCAGAGAGTGCTCGCCGGGACTGGAGCCGTACTCATCTGAGGATCCATAGTCGCTCGGTGAACCTGAAACAGAAACTCTTTGTGATACACGAGGGTAGGAGCAGATCGTCATGCCTCCCACCGCTGCCCCCACTAGTCCACACTCTGAGCCATGACCAGAGCTGGAGGACAGACTCGGCGCAGGGGAAGGAGCAGGGTTAGGTGTGTAACGTGCAAGGCTGAGGGTAATCTTAGCAGGGGTTGGGGCCCGGGTGGGCTTGGGTCTCAGAGTTGGGGTAGTTGAGCAGGATCCATTGAGACTTGGGCTGGAGCTGGCCCACGTCCCTTTGGCACTTGCTCCACTCTCCTCCGACCTGGCTCCGATGCTGGCTGTTCGCGCCCTTGGAAACCCGTGGCGCGATGTAGGTGATGTGCTCGTGCTGCTGCCTCCTGTTCCGGGGGTCTCCGTGCGTGCCCGTCTCGAGAAGCCCACCTGGCTCGGTGGCAGATTTGGGTGATGACGACGGCTCGGGACACTGATGGGATTTGAAGCAGTACCACCTCCACATGATGTTCCCACAGACTGAGATTTACTGCGCTGACGAAACTCCTCACTAAGGGCCTTCATGGCCTCCAGCAGGGTCTCGTGCATATTCTGAGCCACCACAGAGTCATCCACCTGCATCCAAAACTCTCCGGGGCCAGTAATAGCTGAGCGCCCCACCTCAATGAAGAAAAAATTCTCTGAATGACCACATCTTCGGACATTCATCAGCTGCAACACTACAGAGGCCACATCAGAGTTGAGCTTGACAAAGTTGACTGTCTTGTCAGTTAGGCACAGCCGGTAGATGCCTACTAAATTCCTGGCATGTCCAAGACCTTTAGGCCAAACCTTGACCTGCCACACTTCCTTGAAGGTTGGAACAGGAGATGGAGAGCTACACTCTCCACTGCTTCCATAGTCTTCAGGGGTTTTACCTAGAAAAACAGTAAAGAATAAATAAAACAATTAGGGGATTTAATGATTACACACATACATACAAGAAAAAAAGAGGGGTTTAATTCAAACATAGCCTGCTGAAATACTAACGAAAGCCAAAATGACAGTAATAAGTAATGCTTTGTTACTCTATCGTAAGTAAATTGCCATATGCAAGAATACTGCCAAACAGCTGTGCTGCAGCCAATTCATCACCATCACTTTTAAGCTACAGCTCATAATTAATTAAGCCTTAAAAGCTATAGAAAGCATCCACTAAAAAGCATCATGCTCAACTGTGATACAAGACATTGTAATTCTGCTCAGTGCCAATCAAATAACAAATTGCAGAATCCCCCCTCCCTCCCTCCCCGCCCCAGCCCCCCTCTCACAATCAGTGTTATTTTCAGTAAACAACAAACAGTCTGCTGGTTTGCTACAATCCACCAGAGAAAGAGAAAATATTAGCAATGAACTCCACAGAAATTATTATAAGACATAATATATTAATGTGCTTCAATCTATCTCTCTCTGTTTTTTGTTTGTTTGGTTTTTTTGCAAGACTCTCGCCTAATTACGATCAGCTGCACATTAAAATTAAAATAAACAGACATTGTTTTATTGTGACTGTGCCTGAGCCATACTCTGAACAAAATGGGGGTCTTCTGTGCTCTAATGTGTGTCTGTTAAGGGTTCCACAACCACATATTAGAGCTGGGCAAGCCCATCAGTCTCAAATAACTGAAATGCAAAGGGAGAACAGGCAGGGTGGGTGGTGGTGGTGGTGCTCAGCTCCGGCATAAGGATAACAACGTAAACACGAGGATAACCAACAGAAACACAATTTCCAGCGCAGAGCGCACTAACGATGCCATCTCCTCCCTACCAGCAGCAGCACCGCGCAACGCAAATGTAGGTTAGGCGAATAGCAGTCGGAGCTGTGCAGAAAAACAAAAACACGGGCTCCAGCGGAGTGCACCGCGATAGGCTGCTACTATATGATGCATCCCTTGGATGGTTGCTATATGCCCACTGCGCCATGCAGAAAGCACACCGTCGTATGAAAACGGACTGCATTTTGGTCACAAGAAGCGATCATCTCATGTTCTTACAGGCGGATGCTGTTTAACGCATCAAATTATGTTTTTGCTGACGGATAATAATCCGCAGGTTGTGACTGTATTAAAGCACTGCTTATTGAGATTGTGCTGCACAAACACACAGCACATGCCGCCCATAGCGTGTCGGTCTAACCCGTTCAATAGGATCCACCTGCCTCTTGGTTAAAATACATCACCCTCCAAACTGCATTGCTCATACTATATGGGTACAATTAAAACACAAAAACCTACAAACATAAAATAAATAAATAAATAAACAAATCAAAGAAAATATTCAAATAATTCGAGCCGGTGATATGCAGAGAGACACCCAGATGGCCGAGCCAAAATAGTGTATGGAGAACAAATAGCCTACGGCAGGATAGGCCTGATGCAGAAACAGACAGAAGAAATCACATCACACTTTTCATATCTTACAGTTGCCCTGGAGGTCCAGCATTGCTTGGTACCACTCATTTTGGACCTCCTCGCTGTCTGCAGCGATGGCAAAGCTCTCGCTGCGGGTATAAAGCACTATCATGTGCTTGTTCTTGGAATCTGCCCGCTTGTTTATGTTGAAGCAAGTCTCCAGGTTCAGGACTTTTTTGGGCACAGGTGATTTACTGCGGAATTTCTTCTCGTTCTCGTAGTACTCAAGTCGAGCGGGACCATGCTCCGAGGCCGCCCTCAGCACGAAAAATCGCCGGTGCATTGATTTATGCTTGCGGAGATACCCGCTTTTCTGTACATCTTCATAGTTCTGCGGCTCGGCTGCTTGGTTCTCCATTGCCAAAACAGGCGAGCGATGGTTATTATAAACAATTATTCTCAGGGGGAAAAATAATGTCCATGCGTATTCCTCATTTATCCATCGCAACTACTATCCCTCGTCCTCCCCGCGTTCACGTTTAAGTGTCCAGCATGTGTGAGGAGGCGCAGGATGGGGAGAATCAGCCAAGCCAACGCATGTTTTGGGTTTGGTATCATATTGTGAATCCAGCAGCCGCAGGAGGATCCGCGCACCGAGCGTGCACAGCGTCCACCGCCGCTCGTCCCGCAGCCCAGCCCAGTCCCCAAGTCCAACCACGGTGCGGTTCAGCTGCTTAAGGACGTCTCCTCCACCTGTCTGAGGTTGCCCATATCACTCTGTATTCGCCACTGTCAGATTAGGCAGGATAATAACGACATCCCCGGTAAAGACTTTCGAAATAAAAGCCTTAGGAATTGAAGGGAGGCTACAACCGAAGCCGCTTATCCATTCGCGCATTTTTATCACTTCTCTTGAAATGATATGGTAAAACGATAAGTGTGGCCAGCATTTTTAGTAAGTCTTGGGTTTGTACACTGTTTCCAAATGTTGAACATTAGAGCTGTGTTGCCTCATCCAGCATCACGTTTAGTGATTTTCAGTAACTTTGCTGTGCATTACAATTGGTCTAACTTTTACTCCCCCACAGTTTTGGTGGTAATACAGTAACACAGTGAAATGTAACACATCACTGTTACATTTCTCTGTAAGAAACTAATGTAGCTTTGCTGATTTTAAATTCAGATTCACTTTTGTTCAATTGGTTAAATTTAAGAGAGAAGAGCCTACTCCCAGTGCCTTGCTAAGATTATTATTTTTTCCTCTCTGGGCTGCTTTTACACAAACTGTGCCGTTGGCTTTGCAGTAGTACCATAATACAGATGGTAAGAGAAGGATCTTATGATCTAATATGTAAGCAAAGGGATTTGTGCTGATATGTGGGCATATATAAGTTTTTATTCTTAATCAAGTGGCATGTGCTTGTCGTATTAACATAAACGTAAAGTTAATTAAATCAGTGAAGTTCAATATGCATTTAAACATTACAGATTTTAAAATTTCAAAAGCTGAATTTCAGTTTCTTTTTCTAAATAATGACCTCAACACAGCTCACCAATGATCGTTTGAGAAAGAGTAACGGGAAGTTACAGGAGCAGTCAACACTGCAGTAGATTCACAGCTGCGTTATATGGATTCTAATATCCTGCTGGTTCAAGAAGACAGAGTATTGTGACAAATGTATCGACTGCACTAATGTGAGTTGTATTGTGAAAGACAACCTGCTCTGTTTCCGCTCTCCCCCGCCTCTCTGTGGCTGACTTGACTTGCATCCGTTAGACTGACACCTCCAAGCCGGTGCCAGTCAAATGCCAGGGGTGCTTCGGGGCTGCTGAGGTGCACAGACCAGGAACGCGGCGTTCAGACCACGAACACTTGGTGCGTGGCGCTGTGTGGACGGTCGGCCAGCTTATATCGTTTCCAGCAGATTTTACCCAGTTGGCTGTACAAAGACACGAGGAAAACAACTGCAGAACGTGCTGCTTGAGAGGTCGAGGATACGCAGCCATAGGCCAAATACAGTTTTGGGGGTAGTCGAATGTCAAGCAGCCATTAAATTCATATGTGCGTATTTTATGCAGAGTCCGCTGTAGAGTCCACGGAATCTGCTGGCAAAATGCAATTTTTATAACAATAGCTAGAAAATCGTTACCCTTTATCACGTTTGGAAAACCCAGTTAACCCAATTAATTCGTTCTTTTCAATTCCAGTTATTTTTAATAACAAAAACGCGTAAGAAAAAAGGGGAAACAAACAAATTATTAATAATAATCACATATTTCTGGAACTACTGATAAAATGGGTTGCCTTGGCGATCAGTTGCGAAATGTCGTGGTTGAATTTGAAGATAATAAACACAAGTCAGATACACTCATCAGCAGGCTACATCATACTGCCCTATTGTTGTTTAACAGTCTTATCTGCTGGGAGCAACAAACACACTTAAACAGAACCGGGATTTCACACAATAGGGTTGTGATAAGCTTGTGAATGTAGATTTAAGGTAGTTTTTTTTATATAATTATTATTATGATCCATAAATACGGAGATAATGCAGAAATACTAATGTATAAAGCATAAACTGATTTCTATCCAAGCAGTAAATCAACTATAATAAATAGCAGTTCAGAAAGATTCTGTCTCATGCTGTAGATGATAGTCTGTAGTTAAATCTGAGGGGTGTGATTGCACCAAAAAGTGCCAAAAAAGGTTTGGCACAGCAACCTGTCAACATGTCCTCATAGCAGCCCTTGTTAGTGGCAGTAGAAAGAATTGCTTTTGAGCTGTCATTGTCCTCGGGGACAATTCCTGGTAGCGGCGCAGACACAGTCTGTTCTTAAATTTGTTTACAATGTGCAGGGTATTGCATAGAAGTTGCATTATGTAAAGCCTTCCTTACATTTTCATTTGATTGTTCTACTACAGAATAAAGCAGAGTCGCACCAGCCCAAGTAAGGTCAAAGCTTGTTAGCATCACTGGCTCAGCAAAGTGGGGAGTTTCACGACTCACACTGAGCTGCTGCATTTTCTTAAATAAGCGTAGTTTTAATGTAGCTCATGGTTTAATGCTCCATCAGCACTGCTTCAAACCATATACCCTTAAAACATGCATGAACAGATTTCACAGCTTCAACCTACCTGTGATTTATATTGTGATTTACTGTTTTTTTACTGAATTTTATTGGCTCATTTCAAAAGCATATTGCAGTGTAGCGTCAGGGCATCATCTGGGAAAATATCCGCGACACACTCAGCAGTAGGCAGACAAACATAAGAAGACACAATCTTCACTAAAACACATTTTATTTACAGAAACACAGTGATATCACTTTGAAAATGAACAATACAGTGCATTCAGTATTGATGAGATCTATGTGTTTGGCAAATTGTTTAAAAAAAAGGAGTAGGTCTTACCTATAGGCCTACCACAGAATTAAATGAAAGAAAGAAATATTCAGACCACTTTCCCCATGTTTGTCCTCTTGATTCGGGACCTTCCAGGTTGTCTTCATCTGGGGTTTAATCACGCCTGGAAAGGGTGCTAAACACTTAATGGTGTGAAAGACTACACCACAAGCAACCTGATAATCAACTCATCAGACCTCTGTTTTTTTGTCCATATGCTGAGCTGCTGCGACAAACTGCTGTAGGTTAAAAGTGGCCAGCAGCCAGCTGCCTGCAGCCTGAAAACTGCTTTTAGAGGAAAATCACATCCTCACATTGTCTGCCTATTGTTGCTTCAATATCAGTGCCGTGGCAGACAATTAGCAAGGCGACACAGAGTGAGAGAACAATGTGGCTGCTGGCTTTTTGAATACACCGTGATAAAACCCTCATGTTTTGTTGATATCTCCTGTTGTGTCAGGGGTTTAGGGAACTCGAGCAGGAAACATTTCAAAAAATCCCCTAAACCTGCAGGACACAAAGAAAAAATAACTATGTACACATGTACAGTATATACATCCCCAAGCCAAAGACAAGTGACTCAGAGGACTCCACCCTCCTGTTCTCCTATTTTCCTCTTCACATGCATCTGCGATATGTTCTGTAAAACAGGATTCCCTAGGGATGGGCATCGGAGGTGGACGTGCAATCTCAGAGGAACTTTAGATACTGCCGCAGTTTGGAGAGTTCCCAAACAAAAATTCAGACATTTTCCTGCAGAAGATGGCGATACACATGAAAAATCCAAGTCTGTTGAAGCATGTTATTAGAGATCATTTCAGTCAATTGATTCAAACGTTCTGTGCATCAGTGCAGAACACACATACTGTATTAAATAAGGTCTTCCTATTACTGTCTTGTTAAGACCCCGTTGAACACGCAGCACGTTCAGTCATGCATGCAGCGTGTTTCAGTAATAGGCTGCATGCAGTGTTAGTGCACTGTTAGTGACAAATGGTTTGGGCCTTACATCCTTTATGTTTTGATAGAAAATGTCAACATAGTGTAAAGCAGTTCACATTTAATTAGAAAGAACACACAGCTAATGTAGTCTCACAAAGAAAAGAGAGTATTACAGCGAGAGAAGCATAACGCCGATGCGCATGATAAAGAAGAATAGGATAAAGAAGTATTTGTTATTAAGTGGTGTGTTTGATGAATTTTTAAATTTACTGTTTTCAAAACTTAAAAAAAAGCAAACACAAAAAATATTATTTTTTTTGATTAATATTGCGAATTACAGTCATTTACTTACATTCACAAACAGAAAAGACTCATTTAAGTGGTCGAATCATTTCAGTTCAGATCAGAATTTTTTTGTTTTAAATGAGTTTTTGTCAGATTTCTAAAAATATTTATGCTTACTTGCATAAATAAATTTGTTAAGCACTGCATATTGTTGATATCCAGCTAGAAACAAACAGGCCACAGATGTAAATCAAATTTTTAAAGACCAAGTGGCCAAAGAGGAATTGTGTTTATTTTTTAGATATATTTTAATAAAACTATAAAATATTAAATCCACCATGTTTTAATGTATATATAGATTTTGATCACTTTTGGGTGGCATGGCTTCTTCCATCATCTGTAAACAACACTGCCGCTACAAAAGCAAAATCAGAGCTACCCTCGACCTGAGCTCCGAATGTGCTATCCAGGTTTGCAGCTGAAATTGCTATAAAAATGTATTAATGTTTTCATTCTGTGCTGTTGTGACAGGGTTAATGCCTCTAAAGTGAGTCCAGTGTAGACACCATTATAGCTGAGATGAATAATCAGGCAGTAATAGCTTCCACCATTAAGGTGTTTATGACAGCATCCCTCCAGAATCTCTATAAAGCACGTGGTTCAGTACAAATACATACAGTACAGTACACCAGCATTACACATAATACTGTAATCATATTTGTAGACACCTTCGTCGTTACGCCTTTCTGTTAGGCAAAATGTGCTGTTCTATAAACCTACACTTTTTGGATCTGCAGTGTCACTTTTGTCTATTTTTGGTATAAAACATCCAATAAACATATAGAGCATAGACAGTTTCACCTACTTTTTTCATACAAGAGCAAAGGATTGATTGATGTGATTAATATAGAAATTTTCTTTAGTCTTGTGTGTAGTTGCTGTCAGATATTGCATGTTCGACTTTTCAGTCAATGATCTACCTCTGATCACTTTCCAATGATAAACCACGGGCTAGTTTGTCTTCTTCTGTCGATCCAGGAATATTTGTCTTCTGTCGGCGGGTATCTCTTCTAAACTGATCACATGAGTGCATCCCCTGTAATAGGAAACACACCTTTTTATGCACCGTAAATTGGAACAAAGAAAACAACAAGCAACTTTGATTGCAGTAACTTTTTCTTTAAAATGATCAAAACGGATTCAGTCGGACAAATCGCATCTATTAACATGTGTAAATGACAGAACCATTCTCTTACCCTGGAAGGTCTCGAGGATCAGGCAGAGGTTTGGTGAAATCCTCTTTACCCACCAACCAATAAGTGGTCTCAATACCTTTTCCCTACAAATAAACAATCATCAGCAATCAGTTGCTAAGAGCACATATCTAATGCTTCAGCAGGTGTAGAGGTTAGCGTCCCTTTTCATTTTATTTACCTTTAACTCTGTCAGGCCTCTGACATCAATTTTATATCCGAGGTTCAAGCTCTTTAGGACATCAACTGTGCTTTGGTTGACATGGATTCTGTAAGCTGTGCAAATACAGGTGAAACCTTAGCTTTGGTACAGATACACAGTTTAATATAAAATCTTGGGCTTGGAGCATTCCTGGGTTTAAAATGACTAAGTCTACAAGACTGGGCAGAAAACAGACTGTTCTTCTGAGGTTAAGCCACTTGGTGGCAGCATATTACCCATCAGTATAATCATGTAGCACATAACTGTTACTTTAGATTAAGTTTGACTGAAACTACCACTGATCAGTTGAATGTGAATGTTTTTCAATACAATTTTTTAATTACAATTATTTACTGAGAACATTATTAAATGCGAGGGTTTTTTTTTTTTTAATTTCCTTTTCTTTTTTCCTTTTTTAAATTACAGGGCATTTACTAAATGTGTGCACCTTGTAGAAGGTTGCCAAGAAAAACTTGGTCATTGACGGCATTTATTCCGAAACTTTAAATTGGCCTCTAATTCTGCTGATAGCCTTAAAGGATTAGGAAGGACTCCTCACTCAAAGCCCTATTTAGCTTCAAGCAGCATGCACACAAACTGAAAGACACCTGAGCTCCCTCCCACTATTCCAGCATTAGAAAAAAGAAACATGTGGTTCATACAATCATGCACAAGACACTCACGCAACCCCGTGGACTCCATTCGAGATGCTGTGTTGACAGTGTCTCCAAACAGACAGTATCGAGGCATCGTAAGGCCGACTACTCCTGCTACAACTGGGCCTGCAAACAACAGTACATATAGGTTACAAAGACTTCCTCCATAACAATACCTTAAATATGCTTTATACTGGTATGCGTTTCTCTACAGTTTCAACCCAATTTATGAAAATATAGCTTCTGTGCACACAAAGAAAGTCACAGTATAGAGTCACAAATCCAGAGTATGCAGTGTGTTAATTGGATGACAGCACTCTAAGTGGATAGTGTTTCACTCTTCCAGGAATAAGCTTCAGACACAGATAAAGGAGGTAAAAATGCCTCCTCGTCATTGCAGCTTTAGTCCCTGTGGTCCTATTTCTCTGAATTCCCTTTGGATTTAATTTGCACTGTTTTACTTTTTACGCATGTATTTGGCTTTTATAAACAGGTGTGTGGATAGATCATTATTGACCTTTTTCTTCAGATTAAATTCTAAACCCAGAATTTTTTTATAATTATTTATAATAATAATAATTTTTTCTTTCATCCTGTTTTCCTTCTCTCTTCCCAACCGGTCATGGTAGATGGCCGCCCCTCGCTGAGCCTGGTTCTGCTGGAGGTTTCTTCCTGTCAAAAGAGAGTTTTTCCTTCCCACTGTTGCCAAAGTGCTTGCTCATAGGGGGTCATTTGATTGTTGGATTTTCTCTGTAAGTATTATTGTAGGGTCTACCTTAAAAATATAAAGCGCCTTGAGGCATCTGTTGTTGTGATTTGGAGTTGTATAAATAACATTGAATTGAATTTCACAGCACGCCCAGTAAGGAATCTTCGTGAGAAGCTTAAAGCTTAAATCACACATTCAGGGTTTGTCACAGCACAGAAAGGATGAACACATTATTTACCACTGTGCAGGCCAACACGTATTCTGATTTTGAGATCAGGCATGTGCCTCGCCTTGAAGGTTCCAATGCAGTGGAGGATGTCAAGAGACATGTTGGCCATTTCAGCTGCATGACGATTGCCGTTCCTGTTGGGGACCCCTGATGCTACCATGTAGGCATCTCCAATAGTTTCCACCTAGAAGAGAAAAAGAGGAGAGTTGAACACAAACTGATACCATATAAGTCAAAAGTTTGGACACACCCTCTCATTCAGTGTTTTTTCTTTATTTTTACTACTTTCTACATTGTAGACACATCAAATATATGAAGCAAGATATATGGAATTATGTAGCAAAGACAAAATGATAAATAACTCTAAATGTGTCTTATATTTTAAATTCCTCAAAGTAGCCACTCTTTGCTTTGTCAACAGCGCTGCAAACCCTCGGCCTTCTCTCAATAAGCTTCACGATGTAGTCACCTAAAACGGTTTTCACTTCACAGGTGTGCCTTGTCAGGGTTCATTTGTGGAGATTTCTTGCCTTCTTAATGGGGTTGGGACCATCAGTTGTGTTGTGCAGAAGTACACAGCTGACAACTGTTGGAATTCATATTAAGGTAAGAACCAACCAGCTAAGTAAAGCGAAACGACAGTCCATTATTTTAAGAACTGAAGGTCAGTCAGTTCAGAGCAGTCACAAAAACCATCAAGCACTACGACAAAACTGCCTCTAATGAAGACCGTCCCAGAAAAGGAAGACCAAGAGTCACCTCTGCTGTTGAGGATAAATACATCCGAGTCACCAGCACCTCAGATTAGAGCCCAGATCAATGCCGCACAAAGTTCAAGTAGCGGGCTCATCTCTACGTCAACTGCTCAGAGGAGACTGCACGAATCAGGCCTTTATGGTCAAATAGCTGCCAGTCGCCCTAAACCCAATCAAGATGGTTTGGGATGAGATGGACTGCAGAGTAACAGCATGAGGGCCAACAAGTGTTCAGCATCTCTGGGAACAGTAATCAAACTAAGCAACGCATGTCTATTTTGAAGAATCCAAAATATAAAACATGTTTTAACTTATTTCACACTTTTCTTTTCTTTACTACATAATTCATATGTGCTCATTCATAGTTTTGATGCTTTCAGTCAGAATCTACAATGTAAATAGTCATCTAAATAAAGAAAAAACATTAAATGGGAAGGTGAGTCTTTGATGATGATGATTACATATCTCTGGGTAGCTCCTAATTTTTTCCCAAAAGGATGACAATAAAGGAATAACAAAGGAGCTACAGGAAAGAAATGACATGGCTACAATAACACATCAGTTATCAGTTAAATCTATGTCGTTTCTAGTAAACTTTGATTGGTCATTACATAAATGTATTCTATATAATACTGTAATATAATATAAAATACAATATATATATATATATATATTACATTTTGTTTGCCAGGACAGATGAAGGAAGCAGCAATGGAGCGTAAAGGCATGTAACATGGGGAAACGAACCATGGGTGGTGGAGCAAAGGCTCAGCCTGAGTGCAGCTACCTGGGTGACATTTATGTCATGTGTTGGTATTTCAACATTCACCTTGTAGACATCATGCAGCAGAATGATAGCATCAAAAAGTGAGTAGAGGTCATTGAGTAGGTTGACCACCTCAATGGGTTCACTAAGAGATGAAATGGTGGAGAAGCCCACAATGTCACTGAAGTACAGCGTGATCTGATTGAAATGCTCTGGTTTGACAGGCTTGCCTGTCTTCAGTGCCTGGGCCACAGACCTAAAGGAGAAATGGATAAGTGGAAAATGAAATGTTCAGGACATACAGACGATTGCAGACATTCAGCTTTAGTTCTTATTTCTAAAAACATGTGCAAGAACTACGTATCAATATGGAGTCAACAGTTTAATACAGATCTGTTTCTATATGTTCTTTTATGACTATATGACTAAAATAAATTCAGCTTTTTGTTTAATGAGACAACTGAAAAAAATCTCATCTCGTAGTTTCTGAGCATTGCTTAATGGTACATTTATTAATGTTTCAACAAATCAGAGAATAGCTGGAATACACCTGAGCTATTTCTGTATAACTCCACAAATTTGTCTCAAATAATTTCTACAGGGTGCAGCAAGCCTCTGAACCAAGAACTGATCCAGCAACAGCTTGAGGTGTTGACTGATCTGCAAACCCCAGAAGGTAAGCATGTTTAAAACTCAATACCTATGGCTATGGAGTCAATACTGTCATGTCTTTCATGTGCTAATGAAAGCTGATGAAAACTCACTTGGGCAACATCTGAGCCACCAGATTGTCAGTCTTCTGCCTCTCCACCTCCAGCTCCTCCGTCCTCTCTCTGATCAGATCCTCTAAGTTGGAGGAGTACTGTTCCAACATGCGCAGCATGGAGTCAATGATGTTGGTTTTCTTTCCCTTGGTGATGCTCTTGAACTGTCACATGGAGAGAAAAACTCAGCTGTGTCCACCTAGCTACAGACTAACATGTGAAAACATACAAACATGTGTTTATACCTGTTTGAAGATATCATCAAAGGTCGGCCTCCGCTCTGGTTCTTCGCTCCAGGCCTGTTTCATGACCTGTATCACGTCCACCGGGGCCTCCTCCACTGATATGACAGGTCGACACAAAGGCGGAGGCTCCTTGACCTTGTTGATAATCTCTGTCATCATACACATAAGCAAAAAACCCACCCAGGCAGAAACATTAGTGCAAGATTTAGTTTACCCAGTCTTGTCAGCTAACTGTGATTTAAACTGTTAATGAAAAGTACTAAAAGTAGTAGCATATTACTTACCTTTGGGAGGCATGTCCAACATGCAGAAAGGTGCAGAGCGAGAGATGACCTCCTGGCAAACAATGGAGAAACTGTAGACATCACCTGCAAAAGTGCCCCTCCTCCTCTCACTAGAACTTCGCAGCAGCTCAGGAGCCGTCCAAAGTAGATCTTTTTTTTTTTTTTTTATCAAGTGCACAGTTAGTAAAAAATGATACATGCAAACAAAAATTACAATAATAATTATTACGTGGATGTGCATGCGCATGCACTCACCCTCTGGCTTTTCATCTGTGTCAATATTTTGGACAATCCAAATCTCATTGAACCCGTAATCTGTCACCTTCAGCACAAAACGCCCATCTACCACACAGTTACGGGATTTGAGTCGACCGTGGATGATATCGCGATGGTGCAGGTACTTCATACCCTGATGCCAGTTTGTAGAAATGTGTGACAAACATGGTAAAATAAGAAATGAAACACTGACAGATCACCTTATAAATCTCTTACCCGGATCAGATCCGATAACAAGGAAGACTTGAACATCCAGTCGAGACGCACTTCTTCATTGCTGAGCAAATCCTCCAAGCTGCCCCTGGTGCAGTGCTCGATCACAACGCCAAAGATCCCAGAGTCGAAGAACAGCCCCAGTAGCAGATTGAGGTTCTCGTGCCTCATTTCTCTGAGCTGAGAAGCAAACAGTGGCAATATTAGATATGGTTCACTGTAGCTTTTGTGATCAGGGTGTTAAGGCAAATTCAGATGACCAAATGGTTTCTGGCTACAGTTAAGATTCAGTTATCCATTAAATAACATATTTTCATTTACCTTGACAAAGACATTCTCAGTGCTGTTATAGACGTTTGATACTGATCCAGCGGGGCATTTCTTCAGCCAAACCCAGTCACCCTGGCATTTAAACAAACAACAAAGTCATCGTGACACCAAAGACATCAAAAAGACTTCAGCTTCTAAACATTGTACTGAAGTTTACTGAATGTGAACATCTGACTCTCACCTCAAAAACAGCAATATTCGAGCTGTCTGGCGTGGAGGCCAAGTAGCTACGGCCGGACACTGAGTGGTGAGGCGTCTTCATATCCCCCTGGCTTTTTGCTATACTGTCATCATTTAGCTTCTGCTCACACACAGAGTTCAAAGAGGATGTGTAAGCTCAGAGTAAACAATGTGCAGCTTTCATACAGTCCATACTACTGTAGGTATGTAGTGCGTGCATTTCAGAGAGAAGCCAAAGACAGCAGTATTGATTCAGCACAGAACTCACCCGCTTGCTGACTTGGGTATTGATGAAGACCAGGTCATCAAGGGTCAGGACCACCTTTGTCGATCCGCTACTGTGGCCACCACCTCCAAAGCTGAACCCAACTTTGCCATCTCTCCTGAAAAGACCGAAAACAATCATTACATATTTTCCAAGCTACACAAGCCTGAACAAAATCAGATACATACCTGTAGCGAAGAAAGATGTTTACTAAAAATCCAATCAACGAAATGAACATCAGGAAAAGCAAGAAGACAGCAGCCGAATTTATGCCTTGGGAGAGAACCACAAAGATAGTTTGAATGCACTAAAGTCAGCATTGGCTTATTTTTAAATTTGTTTTTAGCAATGGCACTACAAGCACAATCACCTCCAGTACAGGCAAAGTATGGGCTAAACCAGCAGGTTGAGTCTTTGTAGGGAGTGCTCCCTGCAAAATGGATTGAACGGCCGAGATATTTCAAGCCCCCGCTCTTGCTGTCCGTGTGAGAAGCATGAAGCGAATGAGTGGAGTACAGGGTGTTGCCAATGCCGCTGTAGTCCAGGACCACATATTGAGCTTGCATGCCTTCACCGTTCCTGCCAGCCCTCAGGGGCTGATTGAATCCGTCAAACTCAAAGCCACCCTCGCCATCGGCCAGGATCCGACCAGTTACCCAGCGGCCTTCTCTATCGCGGGCCTGCTCAACAGCCATAGCTGTGTAGTACATCATATTGTAGATGGTGCCAAAGAATGGAGAAACCTTAAAGAAGGGACAGCACAGTAGCCATTTAAACTTCAGATTTGTGTCTTTTTCCTATCCTTCGAGATTTGTCTTTTACTTTCTGTCATTTCTTAATGAAGTAGATTCTTATTAGATGTTCTCACCTGCTCTGGGGGAGTGCTGGTACGTATTTCATAGCTGTCCTGTGCTTGTTTGAAGGCCTCATAGAAATTGCGTTCACCAGAGTCCATGGTGATAGTTAAAACTCCATCAAAGGCTTTCCGGAGCTTGGTGTCATTGCCCAGCATATAGTAGGGTGCATCATTGTAGGGTAGTGAGTAGAGAAGGGTGTCGTAGGGAATGAACACATAGCCACGATCAATCATGCGCATAGCTGAGGCTGTTGTCAGAAGTTGGTACTGGGCTTGGCCACCAATCAGGACTGAGGGCATGCACATGATGACCACTAGAAAAGTAAAGTTTAAAGACAGTTTATAATCCCAATTCATGTGAAATATAGCATGTGCAGGCTTTGTAACTCTATGAGGTCTGATTAGCTTAGTTACTCTACCCTAACCTGAACCCCAACCCTATGTTTTGGAAATTAAAGGAAAAAAAGAATATTCAGATATCACATCACAGTCGTTTTGTTCAAGTTGAACTGTGTTTTTTTTAGCAACTCACCTCTGACCCGGTCTGTCTCCCGCACTTTTGTCAAAGCTGCCCGAGGCCCTTCTTTGTTGTTCTCCATTGTGACCACTGGTTTAACAGGCAGGCCGAGGGCCCTAAGTGAAGAGGCCAGCTCATGCCCTGTGGCTTCCCACAAGTCTGACTCCTCTGAGATTATGGCCACGTGGGCCCACCGAAAAAATCGCAACACTGTAAAAATTACATGAGAGGAGAGTGGCAGTGGCCTCATGAAACTAGGATACATATGTCCTTTATTCATATTGGGTTTGAGGCAGGCCCAGGAAAGATGCCCAAGATCCCACTCTTTGGCGTACAAAGCAGCTGAGGAGCAGTAGCCTGGGTTGGCTGGGCCCAAGTAAGCAGCTGCATAACCTTTCAGCCCAGCAAAGCGAGCCAGGGCACGGGATGACTGGCAGTCCTCATTGATCAGCTTGTAGTCATACCAGTAGCCTTTACTGAGGTAGGTGTTCTTGTTTATGCGGTTGATGGCAAGGCTGGCAGCCAAGTCAGGGAGGGCTTTTGAGTATAGTACGTCACATGTCCAGGGTCCAACTAGAGCCATTGTGAAAGTGGTTGCAGAGGCTTGATGGGGGAAAAATGAGACTATGAGGAAGGGCAAAAGAAACCAGTTCCTCCACCAGCTCCTGGTGTGTTGCAGGGCAGATGATAGCAACTGCGGTCTGGATGATAATGACCTTTTTGACAATGATGACGATGCTGATAAAGATTCAAATCGACTACATCCGCTGAAAGTGTCTGTCCATATATGTTTTTTTCTCCTCCCTTTTATGAAGTTGTGCTGCCATCGCGGGTGGTAGGAGAGGTTGTGCAGACAGCAGGGGTCTATGTGTTGTGCCATTTTCTCACACAGCTGTTTAGATGCTTCACACACAGAAGGCTAGTGGTGGCTGTTTAGCGTGAGAGTTTCTCTGTAAATGGGAATGTCTCCCTCTAGTCCAAAGCTGGACAGGTGACAGCACGACTCCAAGCCATCACTGCCAACGAAAAAAAAAGGTGGAAAGCATGAGAAATGTTGTAGAACGACATTTAATCTGTGTTTGGGTCCTCTGGTTTTAAAATGCATCTATCAACACATAAGCTAGCCTCACATCCCACTGCGATGTTTTATTTAACGGAACATAATGTTGAATCTAATTAGTTATCCATCTGCTTCGGTGATGAAATGGTGCCCAGTGTCCCTGTCCTGTTCCTCTGAGAATTAATGGCATGTGAGTAACAAGCTGATTAGCTCTGCCCAGGCCATACAGTTCAAATGGCAGATAACACGGAGCTAAATCTGGCCATCTCTTTATTTAGTCTAACTTCCTTTACCCTTCCAAAGTCTTTCATTTCTTGCTTTCTCTGAAATCCAACTTCCTCAAATCAGCTTCTAGAAAAATCAAAAAAAAAAAAAAAAAAAACGAAAAGAAAAGAAAAACAACAACAAAAAATTTTAAAGTGCAAAGCTTAGCTTAGCAGGCCGTACATAGGTGATTCGGGTTCACCTTTAAGAGACCCATAAGCTATTTTCTAATTTTTAACTGGAATTTCTGGCCAATACAAACTGAATTTATTGAAATAAATGTAAAGTATCCTATATAAGTGTTAACACAACTGGAAATTCAATATATATTGCAATTTGATAATTCACATTTTTAGTGGTATTAAGTATGAGCACTGACAGCAGAGCAAAAGGCCTCAGTAGCTTGCTTCTGGTCGGGCTAGAAAACAGTTTGGAAATGTTCCCATACATATTTTTATATACATAAATAAAATATGTATTGGAACATAAATATAAAAGATTTAGTCATCATCTTAACCCTGTAATGTCAAGTGTATCATATTTTATACATGAGTTTTTGAGACCTTTACAGCGTGATTTTAACCCTTACCCATTTATATGTTAAGCAATAAATTCCACAATAAAGGATGAATGTAGAAAAAAATCTTCAAATTAAAGCTCAGACATGCATGCAAAATATTTTTATTTTATTTTTTTATGTGTTGTCTGTTTTTGTCAGAAGATTTAAGAAACACTCCAGCTTCAAACACATATTTTTTTGGGAATTATTTCATGCTTTAAGCTTTAAATGCTGAAAGTGCCAGATTACTTTTAAAATAAATAAATAAATAAAAATAAAGGTAAATCACAGAGAAGTTAAAACTCTTCTAAATTAGATTTCTTGATAAACAAATGTTAAACTACAAATTTCAGTGTTCTTAGCCTGTCCTAAAGCTAAGTTAAAGAACATGAGTAGCAACCATCAAGGCTCCTGAAAGTGGCTAATGCTGACTTTGGCTTATCAGTTGCTAATATCTTAAGAGGAGCAGGGACTAGGATGTACTAAGCTTGTTCTGATATGCCACTGAAAATTGCATCATTTTATTGAGTTAAATACCCCAAAAGTCTATTTCAAAGTCAAAGACAGATCTAGTTTACAAGAGAAAAGTCAGTGCTTGAAATTTCAGTGGCCTCACCTATACAGAAGTGGCTGATGAACACATTCCTTTCATTAATAGTGACCGACCTATGGAAGAGAATTCAATAAAATAAATGTTACAAGAAAATAAATTCTGACCTGGAGCAGTTTTTCTACAAAGGAGCCATGTCAGGGTTGCAGTTTGTCCTTCAGCACCATCCGAGCTCCAGGTGGATTAAGAATACTAAAGCACCCAGCAGGAGCAGTTACCTGTGGTCCTTTGTTGAAAAAAACTACCATATGTAATCCAAAAGTCACGTGAAGTAAAAAGTAAACAAATAAATAAATAAAATCAGCTATCTCCACTTGTACCTAAAGTTCCCAAAGACAATACTGAAAATTCCACATATCCACATTTCCAGTAGGTTAGCCTTGCTTTCGTTCTTCCTGTCCCTGGCTTGGATTGGGACCAATCTGAAAGCACTGAGTAACGGGATGGTGCGTGAGAAGAAGCGCAGCTCTGATCCAGAGTTTGGATTGGCTAAAAATAGACTGGCAGACAGCTGGGGACAGTAACAAGTAAATGGAAGAAAGAAATGGAAGAGTGAGAAGGACTGACAAGCTTTGACTTCTTAACCTTCCTTAGCTTTTAATCCACGGTGTGGAAAGAGAGTGTGTGGGGGGCGGGAGTAGAAGCACATCCACTGTCTTTTGCACTGTGTGCTAACTGAGGTGCTGATGTAATCTAGAAATTATCACATTCACAAATTAGTTGTAAAACAACCTAAGCCATCCATCAGTCCTTAAGTATTTTAAAGACTGATGGACAGTCGGACCAATCAGCGGCGGGATGAACTGGTGAGAAAATAGTGCTTCACAATGAGCATGACCAAGAGATGCTCAGATTATATAAGTATATTAAATAAGTCTTAGGTATTAGGAAAGCATAAAGACAAGAGAAGGTATAATATCCCGTGCAGTACTCCTCATACAGTACAGGAGACATTTTGTTACCAGAACAGCAACGTGTCACTCACTCAAATATACACATAAAATCTGTGCTGGGGTGAAACCTTCACTTTCAGACAGAGAGTTGTTTTCAATCTTTGCTCATCATGCACACCTTAGCATGACCTTGGTGAGAAACTTTGGCTCTAATGCAGCTGGCTGTTTTATCATTGATGCCCACTTTAAATTATAGAAATGCTACTGACCTCTTGGGTCTCGAGTCTAACAAAGGCAACTGTGTCTGTAGCTCCATATAACCCTGCTGCTTTGCATTATCCCCTTCTTACATTCAGTTCAGCTCTGTTTTATTTATACCACACCACTTGGATACATATGATATTACAATAATGTCAAAGGAAATATGACAATTACCTTTGTGCATTTCACAAACTCTCACCAAGTTAAATGTTGGTGGCAAGCTTCTTCTACCCTTAAAGTGGAGTGGAAAACCCATCACAGTGGTGCTGTACAGCCATCAAACTCATATCAGGAACATGCAGCTCCAGATCAAGATGTACTTGCAGATGGAGAGGGAAGAAAGAGACAAGACAGACAGAGAGAAAGAGGACAAAACACAAACCACAAACTTAAGCCTCGAAAACATTAAGTTACGTTAACTTAAGAGGGGTGAACTACACTAACTTGTTTATTTTGAGTTTGCAGTGCTCGAGTAGGATAAGTCATTTGAAGTTAACATGGTACATCCAAGCAAAAGTTAATTACACTTCATACAAATCCTCCGTTAAGCAGATATTACAGTAGCACACACTGAAAGCAACATTATGCAGCCACAAGAGGTCTAAACACAACACAGCTGAAATAATAATCATGAGCCCCGTGAGTTTTTGCATTTGCTATTGCAGAAGTATTACATAATTCGTAAAAACAAGCACAAATTCAGTAAATTAAATGAAACAAGTTTGCACAACTGCACTGCTCTGTAGGCAGGTGAAATGTGCAGATAACTCAGTGTAAGCAACTAAACATTTAAATTAGCAAGCAGTAAGTGAAATGCAATCAATTGAATCATGGAAATACTTTAAATGTCCTTCTTTGGATCAAGTGAGTGCACTGTACAAATTAGCACAGTGGCATTTATAGTGTATGCCACGAGTGCATGTTTATAACATGAAATAGCTACATTTATATGGAGTGAGCCAACGGATGGTTCAGCGTTCAGGGAGCAGGTTACATGCTGATCAGATAGCTGAGCTCTGCTTCCCATTCTACTTTTGGAAACTGTAAGTCCAACAAGTGCTCTGTTAGGATAATATGGGTATGTGAGGTCTTGAAGAACCTGGTCATTCGGGGTTTTAAATTTGAGGAGAAGGATTTTACACCAGTTTTTTCAATTTTTGGAAGTGTGCTCAGCAATTTCACTATGGCACTGCTGACCAGTCAGAGCATCTCAGAGATATATAGGAGCAGGTTGATGGTAAAGAATTACAAAAGAATTAACAATGCACGGACTCTGGCATCACTCTGAGACAGGGTTCTTAAATTAGATATTATTGCACAGATGAAAGAAGGTGGCCCCAAAGAGTTGTTTTATGTTATCAAGGACTCCAAACTTCTGCTATCACCAAACACATGAACCTTTGGACTACTGACTCATCATCTACTCAAACAAACTGTCAATAAGACAGAAAGCAGCATAGTGTGCTTCCTATAAACCCAATGGTACTTTCCACTTTCAGTAATAAATCGTTGAGATCACTGGCATTAAATAAAATGATTCTCTTGTCCGTCAGTCTTTAAGAAGATTGTAAACTTTCACCAGTTCTGTTTAAACTGTTTCTCTGACAGAAACAATTCACGACCATTTGCAACCATTTTTTAAAGGATTTCAGCTATACTGGGGCAAGATTTAGGTCGATAAGTGGCTGAAACGCTTGGATTGAATGAAGCCTTTATTAAGTAGAGGTTTAATTACATCAGCTTTACAGCCTGTGAAACCTAGTTTGTTGATAATGCTAAAACGTACCTGTAATTTTTAAAAAATATTATCATTAAGCCAATTACACCTGAGATTTTTCTTAAATAACTAGAACCTCACCTGTTAAAACAGCAAATGACTCGAGCAAACACTACTTTCTGTTTGACTGAGGCACTTTTTTCATGCAGTTTTGCATCATATTGTCCATGCAAGCCACTGCAAAATTTGGAATATATGCCTGACATAGTAGTTAGAGTCAAAAGATCAACATGAGCGCAATACATGTTTAAACAGGGAGATGTCCTGGGTGAACTGGTGCACAAAGCTTAAAACATCTGAATGTTATCTGTGGTAAGCCACTCACAATCTGCAGTGGCTCTTAAGCGCATGCAGCATGTTCAGTTCACTGCAGCTGGATTTTTAAACTAATAAGGAGGAAGGAAAACGTCACATTTTAAACATAGTATCAACAAAACAAAGACGCCCAAAAGTGATGCTCAAACACATCACCCTCTGCTGAGGCCGAGTACTGTGTCGGTGGTCTCTCCCATATGCAAGTGTGAGGATACGTTTGTTCTGTAATTAGATTAGTCAGGTGAGGCTGTGCTAAACTGGCTCCCTGCAAGCCTCTTAGTGACATGGCCAACAGCACTGACAGAAATCACTTCAAAGCAAGGTCAGACACACAGTCAGCCCAGTTGAGCGAAGAACCTGTTTGGCCTACAACAGGAGATGCAACGCTGCACAGTGCTAACAGAAGGGCATCAGCACTTCTGATCAGTAACTTCCTGACTAATTTTAGTCCTAACACTCTTTTTGTTTGGAGCCTAACACACAATTTTACCCATGTTGAGAGGGTATAAAAGGTCAACAGGACACATTTGGAAATGACTCAGTATTTTTTAGTCTTAAGCAAACATGTAGGTCTTAAGCTGACAGTATGAAACTGGCACATTCGCGGTCACGTGGTTCGCAAAGCTGTGTGTTTCTCGGAATTATTTACTTTCTCTCGTGAAGCAGTTTGTCACAGTAAATTATTCATACTCTGGGAGGGCCTGTGGGAGGAGCAGTAGAAAAGCTTAGACATTTGCCTCTTATGTGACCTCACTTAATTGCTGAATTCATTTGGGAGCCTCTGCAAGTGACATCACTTAGTATTTTCAGGGTCAGAGGATTTGAGCTATGAGGCAGGGAATGCTTGAACAGCATTTGAGAACGTCACGTAAAATGTGGGTTAGGTAACAGGAAACCTCCTGTGACTGTCTGAATACACTGTCCTCAGTGAGCTGCTTCTGATCAGAGAAATGCATGTAGAAGATGGACACACAGTGATATAAATACAAAAGTCTGTTATTATTGTTGTTGTTATCATGTGATTTTTATTTTTTTTTAATTTTGTTTTTTAATTTTTAACATTTACTCTTGGGTCAAGTATAAATTGTTCAAAATGTAAGTCATATATTAAATAGAAGTATATTGACATCAAGTAGTCCCAGCAGCTCTCTAACTTAAATTACTGTATCTGTGAAAAGCAGCAATGACCTGTAAAGATACTGCAGCGCCCTCTGCTGGTTACTTGTAGTTTTTTCAAAGCGACATAACAGAATTAGTTGCATATCGACAGAGGTGGGTAGTAACGAGTTACATTTACTCCGTTACATTTACTTGAGTAAGTTTTTGAAAAGAAAAGTACTTTTAAAGTACCTATTTTGCATGAAACTTTTTACTTTTACTTGAGTGCATTTGTGAAGAAGAAACTGTACTTTTACTCCGCTACATTTGCAAAATTCGACT